TATAGCTGAAATTTTAATAATCCGCAAATATTTTATTTGGGCAACATCACAAAACGTTCTAGCATTTTTTTATTTTCCAGAATTTTTTTAAATGAGGAGAATATAAAACTAAGTTGGAAACTTGGATCTGTAAAAAAATAGCCTGTACAAATACAGTACGATGACAGCAGAAGTACAGTGCCACTATTTCTTTAAAAGACTCATAACTACATTGTATGTATTCGTATTAGACTAAAACTGGGTATAAAAAACTCAATAAAGAGCACAAATTGGAGATGTTTGGGTGGTGTGTGTTGTTCGACTTTTTTGTTAATTGGCTTCTCATTTATGCAACAATAATTAAGACCTGTAATTTAGTGTTATTTTTTCTGCCTTTAAAAGAATGATAAGCCAGAAATTGCATATGCCCATGGAAAGGAAAGTTTTTCTCACTCTTAAATTGCAATGATCTAATTTGGAAAATTCAGTCCAAAAATTCAAGAAAAATATTTTAAAATAACTGCACCCAGTACAGATGCAAAATTATTCACAGGATCCTGAAAAGCAGTGTCTATGTGTATAAACATGTGTGTGCTTATACATACATGTACACATACACATTCTCTTCCTTGAGCACAATCATGGAAATGACAAAGCTTAAAACCCCCAAGATTGTGCTGGCATCACCGATGATGCCAATTCACAAATACATCTTAGCAACTTTAATGCCAAACGCTGCTGTTGATGACCCAAGGAAAATGTTAATTTTGTCATTATTCAACTAAAAAGTTCTGGAAGCTGTAGCTGGCAATTTAGTACTAAACTACCGTGCTGTTTGTCAAGGACAGAGAGACACAAGCTCATAGAAAGGTGTGAATTAAAGGAAAGACCCTAAAGCCCAGCATGTGGAAGTTAGCAACACCTTTGCTGGTGACCTTCTTTAAGTTGCTCTGACACCATTCTGAAATTCTAAACTTGACCAGAGCTCAGTACTCCGGCCTTGGGATCTTCATAGAATCACAGAATGGTTTGGGTTGGAAGGGACCTTAAAGTTCATCCAGTCCAACCCACCTGCCATGGGCAGGGACACCACCCACCAGACCAGGCTGCCCAAAGTCCTGTCCAACCTGGCCTTGAACACTTCCAGGGAGGGGGCACCCACAACTTCCCTGGCTGACCTGTGTCAGTGTCTCACCACCATCACAGTAAAGAATTTCTTCCTAATTTCTAGTCTAAATCTACCCTCTCCCAATTTAAAACAATTCCCCCTCGTTCTATCGCTACCTGCCCTTGTAAGAAGTCCCTCCCCAGCGTTCCTACAGAACCCTCTTGCAGGCTTTATGAACCTTCCATTCTGTAGTGAGGCACAACTCCAGCAAGAAGCAGAGCAAGTGCCATCAGCTCCTCGTCCCAGCTCAATCACCTGCCTGATTTGAGCACCAGGTCAGACATCAGGATTTTCACACCAAGGCTGGTGAGGCACCCCAAAACCACAACTCGCAGATCAGGCTCTTCAGGGAACTGAAGACACCACACACCTGACCTGTTGATTTAAAGATGAGAAGTGTTAAACTGTGCAAAACCTGGCAAGAAGGAAGCATTTTCACACCTATGGAAAAGCATAAAATGAAGCAGAGTAAATTTTTACCTTTAAGATTACCTAAGAGTTCAGGCAAAGGTTTTGTGAATTGTACTCTTGAATTTATGTCTCAATTCTACCCAAGTGCCCTTCTAGGCCAGCAAAGGTTTTGCAAGTTGCACCTGTACAGGCATATAACCAGATTTCACTGGGTCTTTTTGGGGACCTATGCCTAAGTCTGCTGTAGCAATGGTAAAGAATGAAATTTCAGAGAAAGCTCCCACAGGCTAAAAGCAAAACCCAGGCAGATGAACAAGTTGTGCTTCATTAAGTAAAATGGGAATTGCCCACAGCAACGCCAAATGAATGCACTCGGTCATGCCCAACTTCTGAAGTTACAGAGGATACCCTGGGTCTGCTTATCATGTGAGGAGAAAACAACCTGGGAATGCTCCAGCTCAGAAGTTACAACTGAACACTTTCTGAACATTAATGCACACAGACAAAAAAAGTCTTACTTTATTGCTGGTGTTATGGATGGAAAGAAATTACACCACAATAAATCAACCTCTATAGGCAATTTTCTTACACAAAAAACTTTTGCATATTACAAGTAAAGAAAATAGCCCGAAGAGGTTAAATATTTATAAGGTTAAATTAACAGGCTATGCTCCTAAAAAAGCAGTATCCTATTCTTCCCTGTGCAGGTGAACACCAAATCAGGCGCTAGTCTGCAAGGCAGTTTCCAAAGCTGTTCCTTAGCCTGCAACGCTGCCTATCAGCAACAACAAATGGAGCAGTATTTTCACGATTTGCTTGACTACATCTTTCCTTCCACTGCCCTATCTTCATCCTTCCAAACATCCTTCAGTAGGTAAAGCAAGCTTTGCCAGTGAACAGACACAAAAAAATTAGTTGCTCCCACAGATACATACTTACACTATTGTATGTGCCAGACATACAATAATGATGCTTTTGCAACCACTACTCATTAGCTTCCCTCATTTTACAGCGTTTTCCATAGCTACAACGGGCCAGTTAATTAGTTGATTTTTTAAAATTTGTTAATTTGTGAAATTTGTTAATTGGTCTGCTCTGAAAAGAGGAAAAGCAGAACTGGAGCTTGGGTTTTTTGTTTGTTTGTTGTTTTTTTTAATTATTATTAAGAAGGACGATCCCTCTCATAACTGAAAGCCAGAAATAAGTGGTTCATCCAAAATAGGAAGATAAATAATTAGGAATGCATAAATGCTCAAGAAGAAAATTATCAACAACACAATCTCACAAAAAGAAAACCCATACTTCCTACAAAGACATGGGAAGTTAATTTTTAAGAACAGAACCACCAACCACCTTTAATGCATTTGTTTCAACTGGTATTTTAGAATAGCTCTTTATAACTCATATTACTCAGGAAAAAAAAAGGCAATTATGTGAAAACAACAGCAAGTCAGTTCAAAATCATTACAGAATACATTTTTGCTACCTACTATACACATCAATTTTGCCTTTGAACAATGATTCAGATCACTTACCAGACTCCACTTAAGAAAATTAGGAACAACTTTACCATCTCACTTCTCTCAAAACGAATACCTTCATGCTGGTTTTTTTGGGTTTTTTTGCTAATACATACTTACACACTAGTGAAAGGAATAACTAACCTTAAATGTGCATTAATTTGTGGCTAGTCTTTTAACAAAAAATAGTTAAGGTTACTGCATAGGAATAAAGTCCATCATCTTTAAATTAAAGATTCTTGTATTAGAGAATTAGCTAAATAATGCAACTGTAGTACTTGTATAGCGTGTGCCCATTCCTGGGCATTATTTTCCCTGAAGCCTTTTTTGCTTTATCCAGTCAAGTTGTGTCACACATCTTGCCACTCTAATTGTCAAGGAGTCTCTAAATTACCTGAAGTTAGTATTTTCTTTCAGGGCCAACTTAAACTTTTTTCATCTCTCTTTAATGAATATAAGGGAATTGTGACAAAGTGGGAGGAACTCGATTTAAAAAAAAAAACCAACCTTAACTGAATAATTAATATTCTTTCTTCCTTTCAAAGAAGAATCCAAATAATCTGGACATCTATCACTGTTAGAATAGACAAATGCATGTTCTAGTGGGTAACATGAGGCAGGATGTTTTTGATATTTAACTGCTCTTCGCCACCTTCCTTTGGATAAATAACCTAGGAAATGAGATACCTAAATTTTGTATTTGTAGCACTTAGGCGAGTTGTTTGTTGTACCTCAAATGATACAATTTTTAATGGATACTAGAAAGTTTTTTTAGTCTTGCAATGAATCCATTAGACTGATGTTTCATCTCATCATCATTCTCTTAAGAGTGAATTCATCTGCAGCCAACTTACTGGTAGGAATTTGCAGCAGCCAAGTGCCCCTAACAGCACCTACTCAACAGCTGTCAATATAAACTTGTTCTTTTCAAAGTCAGAAATCCATGGCTTCGGTATTCCCTGAAGCCAGCACAAGGTTGCTGGGGTGCTCCATGAGGAGGTATGTACGATACTTTGGGAAATGGAGCATAATGCAGAGATGTGAGAATTACTGGAGAACTAACCCAGAAAGTCTGCCCAGAGCCGTAAACAAAGCAGTTGTCATCAGGGGTCCAAGTCCTGTTTGTTCCATGCTGTATCACTCCTACACGAGGCAGACATGACTGGACTGACCCTGACAACAGCAGCCTATAAAATCCATCTGACTCCATGCCATGGGAACTTGCCTTCTTCAGCTCCACTGCCATGAAAACCCCTGCACCCCAAAGCACATCCAAATAATTACTTGACAATTCCAGAGATCTTTTAGTATGCAAAGGAACTAAGCAAAACCAAGACTCTTCCTTCGTATCTCCAAGTCCCATAGATACAGCTAATGGAAACTGCAGCCTGTGGTCCCATTAGTCATTTTGCTCTGAGTTGCACCTCTCAAATGGCACTCTTGTGAATAAACCCTACTATTTCACAAACGAACAAATTCAAATGTAAGGTGATGCTGTACAGGGTCTGTCATACTTCCTGTGACACAGTAGATTGTCACAGATTTTCTGGCAACAGTCATGTCTATATTTAAGGCTCTTTTTTCAATTTTAAAAAGCTCCAAGAGTGTCAAGAAAGAAGCAACTACTTCTAAACAAAAACAGTCAGTAAAATAACATTTTCAAAGCTTGTAATGGATCATAATTCAGTAAAAATACATTAAAACTGAGACACAACTATAAAAGATTTCTGTTTGCTTTCCAATAGTCTTAAACCTTTAATTATGACAATAAATAGGAACAATCAATGCAGTGTGAAGAAAATGAGCAGAGCAAGTAGATGTGAAAGTTGTCGCATAACGTTGTCTGTTGAATCCTCCACAGAAAGATGTGGGAAAAGGTGGTTTTCTTTTTTTTAATCTCCTATGACCCAAGGCTTTGGATTTCAGTTTTTGGCACTGGATTCCAACAAATCTTTTGCTTCATTTATTTTTGTTGCTAAGTAAGGCGATCCACCTGAGAAGAAAAAAGGGAAAGGAATACCATTTACACATCAGTATGAAGTAGCATACTATTTCACTTGCTGCATCCCTTTATTACTCACCTTTATTAGCTCCTCCTTCCTAAACAGATCCACTTTCAATATAACTGCTTTAAAAAATTGACATTGATATGAAGTAAACCAATTTATAAGGAAACGTGACATGTAATCAAAACTGAAGTCACTGAAGAATAAAACAGAACAATTTGTCTCAGAGAGAAGACTGAAATCACTTTACACCAGTGTGACTTAGACTTGCAGTGCAAGGTCAGCTGTCTTGAACTTTCATCCAAAGCTAATAGCTATTATTTCCACCCCAAAACTAAGACGCAAAATTTAATAAATAATTTTGATGAAGTATCATTAAGTGCATGCACATGCACATACACACCCCCCACAAGCCTCTCCTCTGCTAGATGCCCGAAATTACTAGCCAGAAACCATCACATTAAAGCTATTCAAACATGGTACGCCTCCTAACTTCTAGTCCTGAATGCTGTCATTGCTTTACGCTCCATCTAACAATCTGATTACAGTTCAGCGGTCTTTTTGTGTTTGTTTTTTTTACTCTCCCCTTGAGTGCCAACCATCTGCCTACAGGCACCACAATCAGCATTACAAGGTCTAGATCAGTAACTTACTGCTTGCTATAATACACCTATATTTTTACATGAAAATGTGATTCCAGTAGTGCTGTGCACTGAAGAACCTTATCCAAGGCATCTGTTCAATCATATTTTTTCATTCATCATTTCATTCATTCTATTCTACTAATCAGAAAAGGTAATGATAGAAGAAACATGCAGAACTAGTTGTAGATATATATAAATAAAAACTAAATGTTAAGGCTTGCTTAAAGACTTCTTTAGGACATACCTGCAGGAATCCAAATTGTTATAAAGTAATTTCATAATGTAAAAAACAACTGGAAAAAGTAATGGGAGTTCTCCTGTTCATGTTTTGGCTTTGTTTGAATGTAGCCTTAACAGTTCAGACTGGAGGAAAGCGAGGCAGGGCAGCAGAAGGGTAGAAAACTGGCTACTGGAAAATGATTTTATGTTTTTCCTTTTTGAAACCAATTGGCTTTTTAGCCAGGAATAAGATTTACTAAATTTGAGTATCGCTGCTTTCAAAGAGTAGACAAGAGGATCAAACAGTAAAGACTAAAAACGGCAATAAACAATGTATCCCAAGTAACACATGTCTGGAGTGCAGGATTTTAAAGTAAATTCAAATCTGCTGGAAGTGTTTTCACTACATTTACATCCTGAAGTGCCATATTAGTTTTGTCGCCCTCCAATGAGAGGAAATTCAATCTCATGATTGCCTAAGCATTTGTTTATAATCAGAGCAAGTTCAAAAGGCTCCTCTCTTCCTCTTTTTCTGTGAGCAAGTACACTTTCATAAAATTAATAACCGATAAATTAATACACAATGTATCAATACAAAACCACTTTAAAACTGAACTGTAAAGGTTAATAAGCAACCATTTTAGTAGTGCTCACTGGGAAAACTATTATGCAAACTTCTACACATTTCTTATTTCTACTAATTTTCTCTTCAACATTTCAGATCTCAGATAGCATGTGTAACTTTTTAAATCCGCAATTATTGCTTTTCTTCTACCAGCTTCAGCTGGTAAAAATATTATTTTAAAATAACATTCTAATGTTGAGTATTATTTTTAAAAGCACATCTGTGCTTCCCACAGCTAGAAGAAATAAAGATAAATGGAAACAAGTCTCTCTGTGATGCCACATGTTCAAGATTACTCCAGGCCCTCACTCTGCAGCTGAAGACATTACACAAGAATTTTTTCTATGGCCACGCCAGAAGAGCTGCAGGGGCAGCGGAGGCACAAATCCCTACAACTGGTGTTCCTACTGAGAAAATGCTCCATCTTAACAGCACACAGGAGGGCTTACTACATCCATCCAAACCTACACTGTGCCCAGCTGCAGGTGCATTACAGCTGTAAGAGCGGGTCGTTAAAATGTACGATCTTTGTAAGGGGAACTGCCTCTTTAGGTCTACCCAATATCCATATGGTTCTGGCTCACACCTCCAACTACTGCTACAATAAACTTACAAGTTCATTATTAAAAAAATTTGACCTAATAGGTACTGTAGTGGTTAACAGGCCTCTGACCATCATAGTATTTTAGAAATGCAGAAGATAATTTATTTTCTATGTCTGCACAGCCTACACATTATAAAAAGTGCAAAAAAAATGAAAGTCTCAAATTGAATAAGCAGGACAACTTCAGAATTAAACTGTGAGGTGAAGACAGCAAAGGAAAGCATTAACTAAACACTACCCAAAGCCAGTGGTCACAGTTCTTTTCTGATTTTCTTAAAATGGGGTGCTGGCAGGGAGCCCTGTAATTCTGTCAAAAAGATATAAAAACCCTTCGATTTCCCCTTTTGACTTCAGAAATACAGTGCAACTCTTCACCATCTGTTATTTTAAAGTAGAAACAGCAATGAACATATGGGCTTTCTTTCTCAACCAGCTGTAGTGTAGTTAAAGTTATAATAATAGCCTTTCTGTAAGATAAATTTACATTACAAACCTGGCCAGTAAAGCAACAGTGCCCGGCTTTACATTTTTTCTGAGTGAATTCCAGGAAGTCTGAAATTCATCAGTTACGTACTCAGTGACTGCAGAACATTTCCCCAGAGAAAGTTACTTTTAAACATGTGACTGGTCCATCTCAGTTCAAAACAGGAATATCAGTTCAGTATAAAAATGTTATAGCTGATTGTTTTCTTATTTCGGAATAAGTTTTTTTAAAGTGTGGAACACTGGTCCCTCAGCTCAGCGTTTTAAATGAAGCAGCATAAGTCTAAAAAGCAGTGTTAAAGAAGGACAGGTAAACCTGTGGTTCATAAAGCCTAATTTATCAGAGAGAAGAGACACAGAAACTCATGTTATAGACAAACAACATACATTTGTACTCAGTGTGGTTATTTATACAATCAGTAAACTTAAAGGATCTCATTTAAGCTTCTTCCTTTCCAGCACTGGTTGAGAAAAGAAAGAATTATTTACCTTTATCAGGATGATTCAAAATCATGATTTTTCTATGGGCTGTTCTGATTTTGGCCTTGCCAGCAGATGGACTGAAAAAATAAATTGAAGTGCTTACCATAAATGTCACTGCACTCAGACTATAAGTTAACAGATTACAGTGTCTTCAAAAATAGTTAAAACTTGAGATTTTCACCATCTTGTGGACAAAACCTAAAACTGCATCTCTGAGTATATAATAACAAAGACAAGGAAGACATACCAAGAAGGACATTTTTTAAAAACCTGTGTATTTGAGACATACAGATATCTTTCCATTCTTTAAAAAACACAATACATCCACTCATTTAAAATAAACAGGTTTTGAGGGGGGGGAAAAAGGGAAAAAAACCCTGCAGCTCTATGGTATATCTAGCTGGTTATTCTTATCATTAAATGCAGAAAACGTACCTTTTTCCTGCTAGAAAATAAGTATTTATATTACCAGTGACAAAACAACAAATATTTAATATTATCACATTTTGTTCTACTGTAAATATTTTTATAGCTGCTATAAATAATTATTCTTTCTGCTGGGGTCTGAAAAAAACTCCTTGTATCTGTTATTTTTGCAAAGCTGTTCAACATGTTACATTCAGGGACATGCTGATTTATAAGTGCTACATAATGTTATTTCCATCAATGACAGATACATAAAATATGTACTTTGCCTAAATTAAATATGTACCTTACCAGACAAATAACCACTTAGGGATGCAGTATGCCAACACAGTAAGGCTATCATATGCAAAAAGACACTGAACGATTTCGTTTTTCAGAATTTGTTAAGCATGCAGAAATGAAGCAGTGTTTTCCACTTCAGGTGACTTCTTAATCAGTGATGATTCAATTAATTAATCCTTCTGTAGATACAGTTTGAACGCAAGGTATCAGCCTAACCACGCTTCCAAGGTAAACAACCTCTAATTATTATTCTGTCACAGGGAAATTAAGGTATGTTGCAAAAATAGTTCATAGAACTGCATAAGAAAAGAAGACTTCAACCTAACAGAAAGTAACGCAGAAAGTAAGAATTAAACAGAGGGCAAATGGCCTTGAACTGTGTTCAAGCTGTGAAACAACAGCTAAAAATAACTATCATCTATATTTTGATTTGTAAAGCTGTTGTTTAATAATAAAAATGGCAAGTTGATATACCACATTTAGAAATTCAGATGGCCAAAGTGTGTGTGGTAAACTTGCAGTTGCGTATTATGGAAAATCATGCAGTTCTGCTCCAAGAAGCAACTGTGAAAATGGAGTTTTACATCACATTTGCAGTTTATGAGATATTCCTTATTCCCGAGTCAGACTGGTCTCTAAAGACTCTTAATCATTATTAAAAAAAACTCTTTAATGCCAAAATCATGTTTTCGGTGATCTGGTACAGCCTCATGAGTTACAACAACATCACGCTGCCTTCCAGTATCACTAACTTTCCTCTGACTGAGAGGTCCATCATCTTGGTGGGAAGAGTCAATGTGCTGGAAGTCAAGGCTGATGTTCAGGGGGACCTGGAGAGGCCACAGGAATGGGCTGACAGGAACCCATCATGAAATGCAACAAGGACAAAAACAGAGCCTGGCACCCGGGAAGAAAATGCCCCTCATTGTGCTACAGGCTGGGGACTGCTGGGCTGGAGAGCAGCTATGCTCAAAGGGACCCAGGGCACAGCAAGGACAAGAGCCAGCAGCATGCCCTGACAGCAGAGGACAACAGCCACCTGGGCTGTATGAACAGGAACGTGGTCACTACGTTGACATGGTCACTAGGTTGACAGAGGCAGCTATTCTTCTCGGTCAACCACATCTAGCTGTTGCATCCCATTTTGGGACCTCTGTACAGGAAGGACACTGGCCAAATACAGCAGGTCCAGCAAAGGCCATCACAGTGTTTGGGAGCTGCAGCACTCACCCTGCAAGCAGAGGCTGAGGGAGCGGGGCTTGTTCAGCCTGGAGAAGAAAGGGTGGCTGGGGGACCTCAAGACAGCCTCCTCAGCATCTATAGGAGATCATAAAGAACATGGATGCAGGCTATCCACACTCATACATGGTGAGAGGGCAAGAAAAAACAGGCAAAAATTGAAAAGGGAGGTGTGCCCTGGTCATAACACTTTTTCACCCCAAAGACAGTCCGGCAGTGGCACAGGGTGCCCAGAGAGGTTGTGCATTCTCTATCCTTGGGGGTTTTTCAAGAACCCCAGAATGAAGTCCTGAGCAACCTGCCCTGACACCTCTCGTGGTCCTGCTTTGAACAGCAACTACAACTAGAGACCTCTTGAGGTCCCTCCCAACTTCAGTGGTCTTATGATCACATGATATACCTATACAGTAAGCTGTGTTTAAAAACAAAATAAACAAAAAACAAACCCAAAGCCCCAATGATTAAACTTTAAATACATTTGTGTTTGTACACTTGTACAAACGTACTATATGTAATTTTTTAATGTAATAGTTGAATTTTTGTTGTAATGTCATTTATGTTTTAAGGATAATTATGTAAACAATTTTAAGTACTGCACAAGCATATTTTGTACATTAAGAAGGAATTAAATATTTCCTAGGGAAAAAAGAGTATGCATCTTGTCTCATGGAGGAAATGGTACAATACAGAAAATTTTATGCATTTTTATCTAGAATTTTAATTTATGGTTTTCAGGCATATTTTCTAACTTCAGAAATTCAGCATTAGGGATCTGATAGTTGTAATCCATTATACTTAGGACAGCTGTATTTTGCTAGCATCTATTTTGTCTCATGTTTGGAAAACACTCCTACCATTTTTACCTCCCATGTCATCTCAGACGCTCCCCCATCTCTCTCAGCAGCAGTTCCTTCCACATTGTATGTAGTTGTTAATATTTTTGCTGTGCTTCTACTGAATATCAGTAATCAGTGCTGCTTCATAACAACTTATGCAAGAACAATAAAACTTAAATAGTCAATATTTTCAACACAGTAATTTGTAGCTTTGGATACCTTTTACATAGTTTAAATACAAATAATGCACAGTCATGTTTCTACCAAACCCCCTGCAATCTTACAAGATGTTTATTAAAGAATAACATTTGGAATGTGTAATAGGCCAATATATTTTAAATTTAAATGCTCACCTTTATCATGGCTTGCATTTTTTTAATTATACTGCCCATGTACATTCAGCACTTGAAATAATGAAGAAAGTCTTTGCCTCAAAATTTAATATGACTTGGAAGTGATGACACAGAGGACAAACGTTACAATAATAAGATCAGGGCCCAGAAAGATCTAGTTTGTGCATTTTGCATACCCCGGCATTTTCTGTAATTTAAAGTTCACTTGCCTTTTGTTTTGGTGGCATATATATATGCATGTATGTATGTATAAAATGCAGTAAGCAGTGAGTTACAAATGGTCTAGAGAAGCTTGTTTTAACAATGGAAAAATTTCCTATAACGTATTAGCCACGCTTCTACACAATTAAAGGCTCAATCTTTTAAACATCAAGAAGTACTTAAATCTGATTGAAGTCTCGATATTTGCAAGATTCAGTTGAAATACAACAAGCAGTATCACTGTTCTCAGTGCAGACTCAAGCTATTTAAATTAAAAATTAAAGGGGACTGATTTCAGATGTGATAAAACTTCAGACATGAACACGAGCAGTGTTCAGGCCAGACATTGCCACTGCAGACACATCTTAATAAGCTGCAGTGTGCTACTCTGGAATATCACTGAATTTGCCCTTATAAAGTGAAAATGTTAATACATTATCAAACTTAAAGGCCAAGGGAAATACTTCTGAATAGCATTCCTATAAGTCTATTCTTCGGTGTGCAAGCATGAAATATTTCAAATAAATGCAATGTTTTATTTTACAAGGTCTTAAAATGAATGCTAAATCTACATAATTTCTATTATGTTAGAAGTAAACACAAATAGCATACTGAACAGGATTTCAAGTCCCAGTTTTCACCATATGAAATAATTTCTTCTGGGGATAATTAACACCATCCTACTTACTTTTTTTTTCTTTTAAATTAACCTTAAAATTCAGAACTGATGTAAAGCATAGATAACAACACATACAACCTAAGGTTAGATCTGTTCCTCTCGTGTGGTACGCCCTCAGACTCACCCCTTGCTTTACAGAAAACACTAAGGTGTTTGCTACCATTGGCTACCCAAATGTTTGGGAAAAAAATCCACTGAAAATCCTTTGAATAGTCAACCTGGAAATTATTTCCCATACCTACTCTAAATGACAAGTCTCTCCAATATTTTTGTTTGAAGTATGCCAGAACTTCTAAAATCCAAACAAATCAGAGTGGATAAAGATAAAAATAATAGTACTGACTAAGGGAAAAAATTGAGCAAAATCAATTTCCTCATTTAGTATCTATAACATTACTTATCTCAAGGGTTTTTTTGGACACCAAGCCATGTGATCGCACTAATTAGCACAGTATGTGCTATTCTGATTATTTCTACAGCACCAATTCTCCACTGCAGTATGTTATCGTGCCTTCAAGACAAACACATGTTGCATGTTTTATTAGCATTTTATTGTTTGCTTTTTAGCTTAAGCAGAGTATTAGAATTGTTTATAAGCCATCATAAGTCTTTAAAAAAAATAATTATGATTTTGGCAAGGGTATTCCACATTCTCGCAACACGCAATTTTTCATTCAATACTTACCAAACAAAAACATATGCATGTAACACACCTACCTTACACCTAAAATAAGACTAGCTTCTCGCCTACTCATTTTCTGTTCAAATCCTCCTTTATAGTATGATGAAAGACTCTAAAAAGAAGAAAGAGAAAACAAGTAGTAATTAGTTCCATGTAAAAGGTGCCATGACCCAAATCATATTTATATGACCTGCATTACATTCATCTGTAATTTATTTTGAAGGCATGGAATGACAACAAACCAGATAATATGAAAGGACTTCTGAGTGTTAAAACATACAGAAAATTACTTAAAAATAACTATCTGTGTTTTTACAATCTTCTACTGCTAATAAGGGATATTAATAGCTTCAATCATTACAATCCTACCTTCAGGTAAAAGAGTTCAGAGTCAATGTATACTAGCATAGAGTGGTACAGTGTGTGTATTGGGGAGGGCAGGGGAGGGAAAGGGGAAACTTAGAGTAGCTTTGGTAACATTGCAACGGAAAACAGCAAAAATCACAATATTTTGGCATCCAAAGAATTATGGACAATCGCTCTGAAGTCCAGATATAGCTACAAAATAGGTAAAAACAACAATAAAAGGATAGAAACACAGAAAAGAACAGAGAAATATAACATACTGATGAAGAGTCAATATGTTTTATCACATGAAGGAATGTTACTTCAAGAAGTTATACCAAGAGTTCTTTGAAGGAAAAAGAAAGAAAAAGAAGTAACAACAACAAAAAGGCTTAGTATAAAGCCACAACCTCTGCTTCAGGAAATCACTGAGCTGGAGAACACTGGAAAGTAGCAGAGTATATGGGGAAATCCTAAGCAATTTTTGTCTTTATATCCTTTTCTAGATATTGATGAGTGATGAAGATGAAATACAGATCTAGGGTTAGGTTTTTTTTAAACTCATTGGCATGTGAGACTTTAACCGCTGTTTTAAGACGGAGAGAAACGCATGAGCAGGAAAAGAACATTAAAAAGAAGATGGAGATGAGAGTAAATCATTACAACAATCAATTCCCATAGGCAATGGGTTGAAATTATATTTATCAACTATAAATATATAAATAAATAAATAGCTTCAAAACCACCACTGATGCTTAGCACTGATCTCCTCAATGTAAATGTTCCTAAGAGAAGAATTAGGAACTAGCCCATCACTATACAAATAACAGTCTAAGCCACTTAAGTTCCAGAGGCAGCAGATGTAGCTCCATGACAGTCTCCCTTTGGGAACCGGCACACAGAAATCACTCACCAACACTGAAGCTTTTTCCTCAGTGCACAACCAATCAACAGGGGAAAAATAACCAGCTTTTGTTGCTATCAAACGGAAGTCTAGACTGAGAGCTGAGATTATTTTTAAGTGTGCCTTTTACCCCCAATTAAAAATGTGCCTGGCCCTTAATAAAACACTTTTCTCACTACATGGATCTATTCATATTCACTGAGAATTTTGCCTTGTGTTTACACAAACTCTTATGTAATTTCAAAAGCATTAAGGCACTTAAAGGCCTCTGCCTGTGATATCTAAGCAAAGCCTTTAATTAAGCTTAGGAGCAACATTCACCCAAAAGTGTGGTTCAGAAATATTTCACCTATTGCTACCAGGAAGTCACATAGAGCCACAGAAAAGATTTTTTTGGTGTGTTGCTATGATCTGAAACTAATTTTACCCTCTTCCTTCCCACCCCAAACCATACCCGTAGTGTTACAGTAGTGGTTATTTTGTGTATCAAAACTGAAGTGACTGTGGATGTGTAATGCCTAAAACAAAAATCTGTTGAAGAAGCACTGCTATAGCTACAGGGTAACTAAGCAGGTTTGTAATGGTGCACGCTGACATTGGAGGTTCAAGTACGTACCACTAAAGGAACACACAGGGCTTCTCCAGTCCTCTGAGGGGAAATTATGCTAATGATTTAATGGCTACCAGATAACACCCTTGAGGAGAGAGAGCTGCACAAAAATTTGCAGTGATGTTGAACAATTACTACAGCCAGGAAAGAAAAGCATGCTTTCACGACCTCTGAAAGATTTTCCAGAACTTCTCCCAAAGCAGCTTAGGTGCAGATGGATTTCTGAAAAGGTTAATTCTTCTCTGCCCTTCAGCCCTGGCATACAACTCTAATACAAGAGGACACTGGTTCACTATTCATGTAGAGAAGAGCAATATTTGAATTATCTCCAGCACAGCTCCTCTCTCTTATTGGTAGATTTAATCTAAAATGCTATTTGAAATAAGAGAATAGGAAGGGATGGCTATAGGCTTAAATTCAGCAATACTTCTTCGTGTTTTTAAAGCCTCCTTCCTTGACACTGTTCTAACCTCAGGAAGCCTTGATTCGGTTCACTTCCAAGAGGAATGAAAAAGAAATGCTGTTGTCTGTGCACACGAGCAAAACAGTTTGTTGAGTGGGTCATCAAGAAAAAACATTTTCTTCTCAGAAAAGAAGCATGTGGCATGAATAACCAATTCTCAAATTAAGATCTTAATCCTAAACAGAATATAAAGCAAAAGGAAATTAGATATAAAAGCCATTTTTCCCATTGGTTAGAATAAGGGAAAGAAACATTGAGTTTTCATTTTATGAAACATCTTGGCAAATTCCTAGTTCTGTAATGAAAAAACTTTTGCATGCTACTCAAATTAAAGCAATTTTTCTCCAGGTTGTAAATGCTAAGTAATGGCTGCAATGAAATGAAGTAATATTCAAGACATTTTTCTGTTATGAGAACTCCTCAATAAGCAGGCGGTTCTAGATGCTTGTTTATTTATTAACCCCGGCTACTGCAAACAAATTCTGTACTGGAAAAATCATCAAAATGAGCTCTCCATTTCGCCATACTATTTGGGGTGGAAGGAGGGGCTACCACTGAATTTACTTTATTTCCTTGTATGTTGTTACTGTTTAGCAACTTATGTAAGCAAATTCCGATGCCTGAACAAACGCTATTAAGAGGTTTGGTAGGAAATGGGCTGCATCAAAAGAAGTGTAGCCAGCAGGGCAAGGCAGGTGATTCTATCCCTCTGCTCTGGTAAGACCCTACCTGGAGTACTGCGTCCAGTTCTGGGGCCTGCAATATAAAAAGGACATGGAGCTGTTGGAGCAGGTCCAGAGGAGGGCCACGAAGATGATCAGGGACTGGAGCACCTCTCCTACAAGGACCAGCTGAGAGAGTTGGGTCTGTTCAGTTTGGAGAACAGAAGGCTCCAGGGGGACCTTATTGCGGCCTTTCAGTTCCTGAAGGGGTTGTATAGGAAAGTTGGAGAGGGACTTTTTACAAGGGCAGGTAGCAAAAGAACAAGGGGGAATGGTTTTAAACTGGTAGAGGGTAGGTTTAGACTAAATATTAGGAAGAAATTCTTTACTGTGAGGGTGGTGAGACACTGGCACAGGTTGCCCAGGGAAGTTGTGGGTGCCCCCTCCCTGGAAGTGTTCAAGGCCAGGTTGGACAGGGCTTTGGGCAACCAGGTCTGGTGGGAGGTGTCCCTGCCCATGGCAGGGGGTTGGACTTTAAGGTCCCTTCCAACCCAAACCATTCTATGATTCTATGAAATGGATGGACTTGCTCTGCAAATGTCTATTCACTTTTGCAAATTTTCACAAAAGCAGTCAGCTAAGAAAACCCAATCCATTTGGACCGTAACATCTTCAAGATGCTTTTCCTGGCACAGCATAGGGAAAGCATAATCACCGTTTCCATACCAGGTCAGAGATTTAAAACCCCGTAACTGAGACCATATATCGTATTATATGAAGTAGTGAATTTTTCTGAAAACTTTGTGTGTTGCTTCACCACCTACAATTTCCTAAGATCAACTTTAACTTCCTTAATTTCAGTTATAAAATAAAAAAAAAATGGACTGCAAATTGCATTATTTTCTGGCAACGTTATTTTCAAAGAAGGACAAGATAGTTGCTACCCTTACCCTCTCAATTCAGAACCTTACGAGTCTGAGCAGAATCAGATCCAATAAGAGAAACACAGTGTAAATATATCTAATGAAGTGCTATAGAAGACACCCTTTTCTTCTGGAACACAGAATTTTCAGGATTGTGGGATTTGAGTAATCTGACACTTCATTTTGCCTAGAATTGCTGTTTTTATCTTCAGTACCTTGTATCTATCTTTCAACCTTCAATATTATTGATTCAGAATAGGACAATAAAGAATGCTATTTAAATACTTTCCCTTTTTATTTCACATTTTAAGGAACTATTAATATTAATAGCATTAAGGTCTGCCGGAGGAAGAAATACTAAATGAATACCTAGTGCTATTCACCTTCTATTGGCAACAACGTCTTGTTGCTACACACAGAAATAAAACACTGTCATTGGCATTTGTGACACTAGTAACAAAACTAGACTCAAACTATAAAAGCGTCTCTCTGGAAATGAGCATTGTGACTTGCCATGGAGGGAAAATGTCAATGTTTCCTCCTATGTCTTTCTCCACTGAAAAATAAGATGGTAGAAAACTTCAGCACTAAAGTACAGCAGCATTTATACTTCATACTTCAAAATATCTATTTAACTGCTGTAAGTTAAAGTTAAATGAGAGGTAGAAATCCAGAATAAAACATAACACTTTTACTTGCCTTTATTTACTATTTTTGACTAAAAGATGAGTGCACTTGTTGACTGTACATGTTATTTATTTAGGTAAGCAAACAGAACGTGTCAAATGCTCAAGATACAGCAAGAAGGCATTTTAAATGCACGCTTCATAATTGCTCAACTTGACCTTACCCAAGTCATCTACTAGTGAGCAGGAAGAAAGAATAAACAGCATCTGGATTACCTCGTGTGACTGCAACCAACATGAATTGTGATTTCTACTGCAAACAGGAGGCGGGGGAGGGGGGGGTGGGGGAGAACACCTGCAAATGGGAGGAGGAAGAGTAGGGGCTTACAGACAGAAAAAGCCAGCTTTTAAATAGGCAGCTACTTCATGGTCGCAAAAAAAAAAAAGAAAAAAAGAGGTGAGAAAGGACAGGGTTTGATTCTAGAAAGCTCGAGCAACCACTGAGAATTACAGACCAAGTTAGGTGCCTCCAAACACCATAGGAACACGAAGTATAGACACTTAAGGAGATGCTTTTTTCCACGAAGCATAAGTAGAAATACTAACTGCGTGATTTCCTTTGTCAGCACAGTTTAGAGGGCAATATGCTGTAAAGAAATGGGATGAAAGTGCTAATCCACAGATTATGTTCAGCAGTTTCAAAATCCCCAGACAAAATCTTGTAAAGCCACATGTTTGGACAATAAGCACTTACATAGAATCTTTGTACTTATGTTTTCTCTATTGTTCAAAATAAAAATTATAAATAAGAAATATTTGATTGTTAAGAGCAGAAGATAAACTTGGAAAAAACTACAATCCAAGAAAGTAGTAGAGGTAGAGTAGTAAAGCACAAACAATCCTGGCTAAGACTTATACAAGGGTCTTAAATTTGGGCTATGATTGCAAAAGAAAAATATTATTACTATCTTCACAAATGTAAAGCTGCCAAATACATACAGTTAATGGCAAACCAGAAGACAAGAGTTTTTACTGTCTTCAACAGATCTTGTTTTACACTGAAAACCTGGATTTTCAAGTTCAGAAACAGAGTAAGAGAGAGGCTCTACTGGAACTCCACATACAACTCTAGGCTGCAAGGCAGGATGTGAAGGCAGACAGAGGATGCAGCTCCAGGGACTGTTCACGAATTCTGCAGGACTCTGAAAGTTACTGTGGTAAAAATGAGATAGTCCTGTAATGAGCTTGGCTCAGCTCGTATAGCAGTACTGAGGGGTACAGTTTCCTAGGAACAGATACCTCTCTGTGCAGTAGCATGTCATATCTCAATGTGTTAAAAAGAATCACTGCCTGCTTTCTTATGTGAACATGTCTGAATTTAGATTTTCTACCCTGTATCTATAATTGGATAGAAGAAGAAATGCTGGAGTAAAACTGCTGGGGAGGGAGGGCGAAGACTGAAGCACTCCCTACTCTGAAGCCATGTGTCCTTATTGCCAGCTACTTCTTGCAAGCCTGCAAGTCAGACTGTATCCACATCATGTGAAAGCAATTTAATTCACAGTACCTAAAGTCCCCTCTGCCGTTTTAGCAAGCAACTTGGGAATCTCTCAAAAAATTACTTCCAAAGAGAGAAAAAATGGTGTTGGTCTCACAATAGCAACGGAATAGAGGGACAGAGAAAAAAAAACTGATCCCAAAACACTGCTTCTGACTGATACACATGGCAATTAAGAACAAGTGTGGACCAGCTCCAAGTGGACAGCCCATGTCTTGAGTCTTTCCCTCCCCAGGCAGCTTGCATGGATCAAGCTTGCACCTTCAGCACATGAACATGGAGTACAGATGGCAAACGAATCTGGACCCCAACACCTTGTGTATCGTGCTAAATAGACAAGCTCTGTGCTGCAGTTGGTACAATGATAATGATAGGTACAATGCTAATGATCACATTAAAAAAAAACACCTACTTTTAATGTATTTTTCAGGAAATAAAAATCTGCAACAACTACTCCCTCACACTCATCCATCAGTGTCAAGAGGGGAACTGTATTCTTTCCACTGTGGATAAGTGCTCACAGACTACGAACTCTGAAAGAATGCACTGCCACAAGTAGTCATCTACCTCACTAGAAATTACTTAATCAAACAGGAATATTGCATATATATTTATTTACCAAAGGACTGTGTAGCCACTGAAGCAAATAGTAAATGCTCTTGAATATTCCCCGCGTATGGTCCTGTCATAACACTCTACCTCTTGATTTTTTACCTCATTACTATATTTTTAAATATGTAGGGCAAAACAAAGAACAAAAACTTCATTAAAAGTTCAAATTAGCCAGGGAGGAAAAAGACAAGACGACTCATAGGTGAACAAGAAACAGGCTCCCCCATTTCTATGGCAACCTTTCCTAGAAGGTTTTTGATTTGTCTTCTTGATTTTTAACACTGTATCTGAAAGACAAATGACTGAATTCTTTCATTTTTTGCTTCCAGAAATGAAACTGTATGTCATCACTTTGCAATCTCTAGGAATTAGCTATTTTCTCCCAGCACACTTCCACAATTTATCATATGCGTATTAGCAAAGAGTTCTGAAACATGGAGCATCACCAGGAAAACTAGAACAGTTTATCAAAGTCACAAATATCTTTTGATATAGCTTCACCTACAGGGATTTAAAATATACAAGACAATGCACCAGAAAAACAGGAAACACTATCCTGGGGTAAAAAAGCCAAACCAAACCAAACCTAACTGGCACTTACCATATTTAACATAAAATGTCTCCTTTCTAAATACCTGAAAACATAAAATCATTCATTTAGCAAAAAGTAACCTCTAAACGTACAGAAGTTGAAATCCTCTTTGCTGTCTCTGTTATTGCCTGCCCCAATGGTTTCCAAAGGTGGAAAGCATAACGACCTGAAAGAGATTAAGTTACATGAAACTGTAACCAACATTCACCAAAAGGAAAACCAAAAGTCACCAACTTCCATTCATCAGCTTACAGCAGGAAGAATTTTGGTTTTAAAGAACAACAAAAAAACCCCAAATACTTCCTTGTTATGCTTTTCATATCTTTTATTTGTTTTATAGCAGCATTGCACTTTACTGTATTTCAAGATGTTTTCTCAACAGCTGTTTTTTGGATCCTGCCCAGCCAAAGTCCCACAGTAAACATGATATGGTTTCCATTTTTCAATCTTTGTAATATTGGGGGAGGGAGGAGGAGAAGGTTAATGTACTTCATCCAAAAACCTAGTCATGGACTGCAAAGCCATTGTGTTTGCTCCCGAAATAAATAGATTTAAATGCATTTAAATACGAAAAATGAAGATGTCTGCCTTGTGAACTTTAAGAAAAAGGGCAGTATGAAACATTAGCTTTGGATATACATTATTTATTAACTACTGTTCAAAGGTTATGTCTTCAAAAAAAGAAATCTATGTACTACATGTTTCTTGCTGTGATGTTATATGCTTAATCACACATTTTGTAAGTACTGCATTTTTTATTTTGCTACAAAGAGAGGATCTTCTGGGATTCAGAGTCATTCAACTCTCCACTGGCAATGAACATCTATAGCTAGGAATGGCTAGAGGGAACTCTACTAGATGGCATTCTCAGAAGTACAAAGCAGGTCAATCAACTTCAGAATCAAGATCTGTGCAATGTTACTGGAGGATTTCCCCTATAAGTCTTCTCTTCCCAGTTATTTTTTTGATTAATTATTCATTAGCAATGAAACTACTATACACAATGGAAAACGCATTTTATAAAATATGACTCTGCTTCATTCAAATAGCATCTTGCTTTCATTCTTAAAATATGTGATGTGTCCGTAGGTTATTTTAGTTATCTAAGCCTGTGCCTATGTTCACATAGAAGTTAAAAACACTGTTAAGAGTATCGCTGCTGAAATGTTGCTATGTACTGCAATACATGATGTGCCGTAACATATTACCTCTCCTTAATGCTTTCTGTTACCACTTCTTTGGTAGCTGTCATTAATTCTTCAGCTCAACCAGCAGAAGAAATTCTAAGAGTATAACTCTTCTGCTTACATAAAAATACATAGATAAAACAACTACTTAATGGTTATAGATCACCAGAGATCTTGTCTATCCTTCCCCTAATAACAAAACAACACAACTGTACGCACCAAACACCTGCTAAGTTTGGTGCAACTTGATCATCTATTGCATCTATTTTTGCTGCATGCTTGAGCACACAGATGACCATGGTTGCTTTTATATGCTGAAAACAATGGAAATTGATTTGTGTCTTTCAAAACCAGAATAGACCAGTTATCTAGTCTGAGTAACCCAGAGTGTAAATCATGTTAAGACCATGCCTTGTGTTGAGACTAGAACAGTCTCAGAACATACCATCCAGATGCAGAGAGTGTAGTGTATTACGACAGCATTTAAATATGATAAATCACTGTAGCCACTAAAACCTTCTATTTTTGTCTTTCTGAATTTGTCAAGCACCTTCACACCACAAGATCCCATTGCACTCATTGTACTCAAAGGCCTTCACTTTGCAATTTGCTAATAAGTAATCTTTTCATATTACATTTTGCAGAAAAAAGCAGGCAGAACCTTTTAGCTGCTGCTCATAAAATTAATTTCTCCAGCTGTGACTCTTCAAAAAGAATTCTGGAAAATGTGTCAAGGATTTTGAAGGGACAGGAACTACAACTGGACACAATTCTCCATAGCACTCAAGCAAGCCTTCCACTTTCTACTATTTAAATTCACACAGAATCACCCAGAAACACAGAATCGCTCGGTTGGAAAAGACCTCTGAGATCATCATGACCAACCGTTCCTGTCTACCCACTAAACCATATCCTTAAGGTACCTCATCTACCCGCTTTTTAAATACATCCAGGGATGGTGACTCCACCACCTCCCTGGGCAGCCTGTTCCAGCTTCTGATGACCCTCTCAGTAAAGAACTTCTTCCTTATCTCTAACCTGAACCTCCCTTGGCACAGCTTGGTGCTGTTTCCCCTTGTTCTATCTCCCATCCCCTGGGAGAAGAGACCAGCACCCACCTCTCTACAACCTCCCTTTAGGTAGTTGTAGGTGGTGACGAGGTCTCCCCTCAGCCTTTTCAGGCTTCATAAAAACCTCATTAACACTTTTGGAAATAGCAGCTGACAAGGGGCAGTTCCACTTTCAGCTGGTAATTTAGCTTACCTGCAAATGCAACAGTTGCAATTCCAAGTCCAACTGCCATCACAGTTTTAGCCTAAAACAGAGAAACAGCAATCAGAATAACGTGCAAATTCTTATTTGAAATATATGCACTTTTTGCTTTAACAGCAAGTATTTCTGATGTCTGACTTGGATACTTCATGTATAATTTATATGAAAGATAAAAGGAAGTTCTGCATTCCACCAGCTACGTTCAATTTTATAGTTCAGTCCATTAACCCATGCTAACACAGCAGGTTTAATTTGGAATTACCCATTAGTAAACCAGTGAACAAACACTGACAAAGCAGCTCACAGTATGTAATGATAAAAACTCAAGGCAGACAACTATTCACAATTACCCGAAATTATCTGTGCAACTAGTTCAACAGTCTGAAGCGATGCTTGTCATAACAGAAAGTATTTGTTTATAACAAAAACATGAAGAGCTAAAAAACCCCACTGAAACAAACAAAAAGAGACATTGATATTGTTTTGCAAAGTCTTTCACTAGGAATCTCATCATGACATTGCTTGAAAATGGTTTTGGAATATTAACTTAACCATTGTACTTAGGCTCACCCAGCTAAGAAAGGTCCCTGATCCCAGCTGACTCAAAGGACTCAGTCCCATCCCACAGCTACAGCCACAAAGGTTCGTCACGGTCTGTCACCTTTCACACTTAACTCACGGAAGCCCCAGTAAAGACATAAAGCCCAGTAACCTCTTTTCATTATTTAGCAATAATCATCAATCACTGCCTGGACTCTATTTTATAATACAGTTATCTGTAAACAGACTTCTGACAGATTTCAGGCACCATTCATTATTGGCTAAAATTTGCTTTAAGTCTTAACTGGGCTCTTGGAACCAAGAGCACAAAAAGACTTGAACATCTGATTTAGGCAACAGTAACTCCTACCACCTGTTAACCCCCAGTTTAGGTGTGTATATTTTCCCACACAGTGCTTGAAAAAAGTCAGCCATCTCAAGGAGGACACTAAGGAGTACCTCCATGTCGAACAAGAAGCTGCTGAATGATATGTAGTAAGCCTTTAAGAAGGGACTGGTTTCTCACACATTTGCAGAACTCAAGAAGAGTAATGAGTATTCCAAGTGCATGTTTGTTTGGGGCATTTATCCACTTCTGAAAAGACTACATAGAAACTTGGAAGCAAATTAAATAAAGTCATCTCTGACACTACTTGTCTTAACATGTGACAGTTCAATAAGGTCTTTAACTTTTTTTTCCCCAGGAAACATGAGAAGTCAGGTTTGGTCTCTTCATTTTCAATTCAAAACATAACTACAGTGAAAATGCTTTGATCACCAGACTGATTCTTCTATAAATTATTTACTTCTGCATTTATCCAGTAACTGGTTTATACATTTTCTACCAAGCCTGACAGTAGGACTTAAAGCCCAAATTTGAATGTGAGTGCCCAAATAACTGGATTTGGAGCCAAGCTGCCTTTACTACAAAGATTCTGAGGGATACAATAATCTGACCGTGTACCCAAGTCTCATCTCTAGACAGAGAGGGAATGGGGGAAAGTTGGAAAAGGCTGGTTTTAAAGTCTAGAGCTGGCTTAGTAGGTGCTACAACACACCTTGATACTTTCCAAGCAAACGGGCTGGGGTACACAATGTAAGCATTGCCATCATGGCCAGCGGCTCCTATGGCTACAAAAGGCAAGTGTCTATGACTGCTGCCTGTAGAATTGAACTCATCTGTAAGAAGCTCTATTTCTCTACATCTAGTTTCTGGATCCTATGTGTTTTAAGTAAGTACCTACTTTCCACCTACCAGTCAGGATGGGGCTACTCCAGCTGTCTGCGCAACATAAGACTGCAGTTGCCTACAGGCTTCTAGTAGAAAAAAAGTATCTCACTAAGCATGCTGAAAGTAGAGCTCCGAAGTTAAGACTGGGGGAATTCTGGTGTTAAAAATCTGCCTCTCTATCTCATTTTAGTAACCTAACTCTTCCATCTCAGTGTAGTCTTCAGTCTTGATATTAGTATTCATTCCTGAATGTAAAAATAATGTAGTTTTATGTCTGTTGTTCCTTTCAGTTCCACAAAATTTCCCTTCATCTTTAGACCATGAAAAAATATAAGTATGTTACCTTAAATGGTAGAGGATATAAAATAGCAAAGCATACTGTTCATCTCCTCACTAAACTAA